GGGCCAACCTTTGATAGTTTAAAATTATATATTTTTTTTGAATTTTCATTTCAAATTATATATATATATATATATATATATATATATATATATATATATATATATATATATATATATATATATATATATATATATATATATATGAATAGAAGTTACTTAAAAAAAAAAAGCTCGTTTATCTATAATATTGAAAATTTGATAAATAAGGACGCCAATTAGGGTTGCTGCCCTAGGCGGCGTGACGGCTCTCGGCGGCCCTATATATTTATATATATATATACATATATATATATATATATATATATATATATATATATATATATATATATATATATATATATATATATATATATATATATATATATATATATACATATATATATATATACATATATATGTATATATATATATACTCATACATATATATATATATATATATATATATATATATATATATATATATATATTTATATATACATACTTATATATGGCACGTTAGTGCATCTTCATTTTGAAACCCTCAAACTACGCTTTATAGCTAACGATTACATAGAGTCTATGTAATCATAAGCTATAAAGCGTAGTCTGTGATAGACTACGCGTGATAGACTACGCTATAAAGTTTGTGATAGACTACGCTATAAAGCGTAGTCTATGATAGACTACGTCTTAAAATTTACACAGGCTACGTCGTATATTTTACGAGATTAAATAGGTTCTTTATATGGCCGACGATACGGGTTTCGAAGTGTAGAGACACAATCGTTTATTTTTAAAAAAGTCATCTATTTCAAGATTATTATCTTTCATTATGAATTTCTAGTATATATTGAATGCATTTAAATTTAAATATGAAATTTGCGAACGTTACGTCAGTAACCGTTGAATGCACTATATGATAATTTATGAAGCACTTCTGTTAATCTGCCAAAACTAATAAGAATTGTTTACTGAAGTAGCAGTTAGATTAAAAATTCGTTTCGGTTGAAGTTTACTTTTTTAAAGTCTTGAAGGTTGAAGTTTACTTTTTTAAAGTCTAAGACATACGGCGCATGCTTAGATTTACCTCGATTGACGTTTTAAAAGCTGCTATTGGTTTATGTCGAAGTTTTATAAACAATGGGTAAAATAAAATTTCATTTCATATTACCCGAAATAAATATTCACGTAAACATAGTCAAATTTTGGGACAAGTGTGAAAACAAAATATAACACAAATAAAAATACGATTATATATATATATTATAAATATGATTATAAATATGAAAAACAATAGTTAAATTAAAAACACAATGGCTTATTAGATCTTTAAATTATAAAATAAAGGCAAACCTTGCTTCTCACAATTTATTTTTCAAAATGTAGTTGAATTAAAATATTTTACATATAAACGTTAAAAAAAAGCAATTAAAAAAAAACAAAAAACACCAAAGAACATTGAGTGCATGAGAGTAAAAAGTGTCCAATAATAACTTGAAAGAACTTCTCTTTTCAGTAACCAGTTTTCAACAGCTATATTTTGTCTAAAAGTACATAAAAAAAGAGCTAATAGTTTTGTGAAAAATTTTATTTTTTTATCTTTTTTAATTTAGAGTCAAATAAAATCTGAAAAAGATAAAATTGTAAAAAGCAAGGTATGATTTTATTTTAATTTAATATCCAAGTAAAATGTTTTCGACAGCAAAAAAAAAAAAAGCATCTCTACCTAATAAGCACTATAAAATAACTATTTAAAAATATTTCTGTTTGCATTACATATCATAAAATCTAAGTTATTTAAAAATATGTATTGCTTAAAAGACTTTGTCTATTGCGTCTTATTCATCTGCATGTAAATCTCTGATGTTCTCATTATTACAACTGCTACTTTAGGCTTATGGTTTAATAGCTGCTATGTTCTATTTTAAAATAGCGTACGTCCATTATCCATTTTTCGCCTTATTATAAAATGGCAAGATAGACAAACTTTGTCGGTCAAACAAAACAAAAACCATATAATAAAGAAGCAAAAACTCGAATCTTATTTATTCTTACATCTCATTAACTAATTTTTCAAGTTTTGAAGTCATTTTAGCAACATCGCTGTTAATATGACTTCTATTAAATAGGGCGCTAAACAGTTATTAGGATAAACAAATAAAACTTCAATAACTAATGTTTGTTAAAATTCACTATTAATAAGAAATAAACATGCATGATAGTCGCTCAGAAATCTAGTGAATAACTGCGTGGATATGCACTTGAAGTTAGATAGATCCAATGACGCATAAATATAACTAGATGCGTGACTCGCAGCATTTTGCTTATAACTTAGTGAAGCCAGCGTCCGACATTTTGTGGTACGACAAAAATATGAGAAGCGACAAAAAACATTAGGAATTATTTATAAAAATAATTTTATTATTTTGATAAATTAAATTTGATTTGATTAATTAAGCATCTATAGCGAATTAATTTTTACTACATTTTCAATTTATATATATATATATATATATATATATATATATATATATATATATATATATATATATATATATATATATATATATATATATATACATACATATATATATATATATATATATATATATATATATATATATATATATATATATATATATATATATATATATATATATATATATATATATATATATAATATATAAATACAAATGACTAATATATTTAAGATTTTAGTATAATTTTAATTTATTTGAGACCAGACATGACTTTTATTTGAAATATTGATGATATTAGGGATCTGTTAAATGTTTAAGGTTCTTGAGGCACCTATAATGATTAATAAAGCAAATTTCAAATCATGAAAATTTACAAAATTAAAATCATATTTTAACAGTAGAAAACCTAAAATAAAACAGTAGATTGTATAGTAACAAAAGGTACCTTTGAAAATATTGAGTTAAAAGTAGACATGAATCAAAAACATGAAGCAAATAAGTTATAGGTAATATTTTTGACGTTTCTAATGGTTAAAAATCTAGCAGTAAAATTGTTAAATTTTAAAGAGCAACTACTTCAAAAAGAAGTAGTTGCCTTTTAAAATTTAACAATTAAAACCTATTTGAAAACTTATATCCAGTTTAAATTAGTCATAAAACTCTATGTAACGTATTCAGAGATTAAGATTTTTGCCATGTTGCGGTACGGCAAAAATCTTAAATTCTGGCTTCACTTTTTAGCTAAATTCATGCATCTAGTTATATTTATACGTCATTGGCTAGATCAATATTCAAAATAATCCTTTTTATCTTCAGAATGACTTTTTTTTTAAAACATATTCCGCCTTTAAAGAATTTTTACAATTACAACGTACACGAATAAAAGATTAACATGGGCAAAGAGAAAACTATAATTTTCTTATTACTAAGCCTCCTAATATATATATATATATATATATATATATATATATATATATATATATATATATATATATATATATATATATATATATATATATATATATATATATATATATATATATATATATATATGTATATATTTTATAATATTGCAAGAAAAAATTATTTGTACTTTTCATGTAATATTATTAAAAAATGCAAAAAAACAAAAAAAACAAAGCGTGTTTTTCTTTTTTAATTTTTAATTATTATTAGGACATTATTACTTTAATTTTTTTTTAACGTTAATTCATAGCAGTAATATAAAAAAAACTTTAACTGTAGAGATTTTAAACTGGGTTATAATTTTAAAGATGCTTAATAATTTACTTATTCCCGCCTTTAATAAAAAAACAACACGAAATTTAGAAAAAATATCTAGGTTTAGAAAAAATATCTAAAATATCCTATATAAAATTAATTTAAATGTTGATTTGGTCTTAAATGAATACTTCTGAAGCTACCTTCTAAAGCTGCCGCACTAATATTAAATGTTTATTTTTACGCGAAGTCATTGTATTGCCATCATGAATTTTTTTAAAATTCATGATGGCATGAATTTCATGATGGCAATATAATGACTTGGTATATGTATAATAGTGTCAGTATAAAAAAATTTCACCGTGCTGAACCGGGATCCCGGTATTTCATAGACAAGATCTAGCATAGGCGGGGTGAATAATATTGCATATGAGCGCAATGTTGAAATTGTACGAGTTTTAAAGGAGAGGCCAGATCTCGGTAGATCTCGCATAAAAATAGGATTTTCATCCATAAAAAAACACCCTTAGAAAAAAACAAAAAAACAACAACAACAACAACAAAAACACTTTTGGCTATACTTAGAAAAAATAAAACATTTTTGGTTATAGAAGATATAGAAGGTACACTTGCTTTATCAAAACAACTATCAGATCACTTAATGAAAAATTTTTGATTTCTAAAAAAGAGATAATACAACTTTTTTTAAGAATAATGAATCTTATGTTTCAAATGTTACGAGTACCTTATCAATAAAATCACGAGATATCGAAAAACAATTTTCATACAAACATGTTCTAATCAAAATTGTCTAAATTACCTTAAAGGCTAAAATTTATTTTAGTCATTTAGAGATTATCTCATAAGAACTGGTGTAAAAGGTAACTGGCAATGGAGTGACTTTTATTGGAGTAGAGAATACACTAGGCACCTTTAAAGTTTATAAATTCGCAGTAAAATACCTTGACGTTAAGAATATTAAACAACTACGGCACGAAAAAAAAAAAAGAAAAGATAAAAAGATAAAACTTGCACTCGCAGTAACATGTAAAATAAAATCAATTAATACAAAATAATTTTGTAGTTTTCTATAAGGTAAAGATATGTTCAACTAAATATATTTAACTGAGATTTTTTCTTATTTATATGCAACATTTACCAATTACGCGTAATTACTTATTTTATAAGAACGCGTAATTATCTTTATTTTAACTCTCATTTGGTTGTATTTTTTTTTCACGATTACGTAACAAATTAATTAACGACAAAAAATAATCTAATTAATTTTTTGTTATCAATTAAAAAAAAAAAATATCCTACTTGTAATATATGTTCGCTGCGACGATTCTTTGATTTGATTATCTTCCTCATCTAAAGAACATTCAGAAAGTATTATGACACCAAATTGCTTTGAAAACTAAGCCATAAACTCTAAGTAGACTTAGGATAAAATTTGGCTAGAAAAGTAAATAAAATGTAGCCTATCGTTTAGAAATCCCAACCACATATTAAATAAATTTATCTATAAATAACATTTTATTGCGGTGTTTATTTTATCACGCAAAATCAAATAATTAGCACGATAAATAATTAGCCGCGACATAAGTGCTATAAAATTGGGCCAAACCAATTCTTTTGAACAACAAAAAAATGCGTTTTTAGTTTAATAGACTTTATTAACTTATTTTTTTTCGTATTGAAATTAATAATCTGCTTCTATTAGTTCTTTAAATCTCACAAAGTATTTGTTTCAATATAGGTGGAAGAAAATACTTAAATTTAAAATTGTTTTTCTATATATCATGTTAAAACATGTCAATCTGGTTCTTAACTCAAAAACACAAATTTTGGAGATTTTCAATTGAGTTAGAAATGAGATCGCAAATATATCTATTGCAAAACAAATTTGCATTATTAAAATCAAATAAAACACTTGTTATTGAATAACATACCAGAGCTCGATGAGCCAACGGAAATTCGAATACCTCTTCTTTTTAATTTCTTTGTTATAATAATATCTTTGCTTTTGGAAGAGAATTCTCCAGTAGACAAACCTGTACGTAAATGAGTGTCCGACACATCTAAAAAAGCAGACGAACTATTTTCAGTATTACTTTCGTAATCACTTGTTTCACTGTCTGTTAAAGCTTGATCAATTAAACTTGAAGTTTCTGAATCTTCATTACATAATCTTTCGGGATCGTAAATCGTTAATCGTTTCATATCGTTAGTCGCTAGTCGTTCCCAATCGTTACTTTTATCTGAAAAAACAACTTCGTTAATACTCCCACAATCACTTATTGCACTATCTACTGATGCATCATGGGAAAACGTAGAAATCGAGTGTACAATTCCTAAGTTGCTATTTTCGAGAAAACTATTAGAACCGTCACATTTGTTAAATAAACCAGCTGAACTAAATTCACGACAATCGCTATCAAAGCAAGCAGATAACTCCCCACAATTATTATTATTGTCAAAAAAGATTGCGCTTGGTATAGATTTTTCAGCAGAGGATTTAACAAAATTCAGTACACTGTTTGGAAGTGACCCTATCAAAGGGTAATCAGGAATGTTGTTAATCTTTTTCATGATATCGTCAACTTCGTTTTCCTCTTTATTTTTCAAGTCTCTTAAAAGGTTTTTAAGCGAATTTAAAATGTCGTTTCGTTCAACAAAACATCTCCATCTGCGATTTCGCAACTGTCCAAAAACTGTAACATTTGTATTTGCAGGTATCAAAGTATCTCTCCGTCCAGAAATAAGGTAATAATCTTTCTTTATCTGACAAACAAATTCGTCTCTTTTAAAAACACCTTTAAAAAAACGAAGAACAAAAATTAACAATTGAAAACCATGAAAATATAAATAAAAACTTAAATATATAAGTAAAAACCTTTGTTTCCAAAAAAATCGATCATTTGTTGATCGAACTGTATTGCTAATTCCTTCATTTCCAACAACGATTTCTATAAGCAACAATATAAAATATAATAAATATATGAATTTATAAAAACAAAAGTTCAACTTTAAAAAATAATACTTTTTATTCGTTAATTTTTTTTTTTTAAATGAAGTTTCATTTATAAAATGAAATTGACGAATAAAAACAAAAATGTTAAACAAGATTAATCAAGAATATATTTTTCAGCAGTTTGTAGAAGACTTAATTTCGTGCAATGTCATGATGGAACTTTTAACCATGCAGCTCTCATCCCCATATTGTCATAAAAAAAAGGTACTCGCATAAAATGAAGGTTTATAACATAATACAGTCCCTAATAATAAATGAGTAAGCAATAATATCGACAAGTTCACAGTAACTTGCCTATTTCATACCGCCAAGAAGTCCATAACACTTGGCTTTAAGTGCCTATTGATATCTGCAAATATTTGTTTATAATCAAAAAATTTTAAATTTATGAAATTCATCAAATTAAACTGATTATATTATTTGCAAATAGAAAAAAAAATTCAAAAATATTGATATTTCATTTAAATATTCAAACTGATAATATTTAATACTGCAATAATAATGTACTGTAATCAGTGCTGCTTAATACATTAAATAATTTTTGCGAAATAAAAAAAAAAAAAAAAAAATTTACATTCTCTGACATTTTTATTAAAAAATTAAATAAAGAAATGCTTACATAAACACCAATATTAATAAACTAAACTGAAAAAACAAAAATAATAAGTAAAAATTGAAAACAGTAAACTTAACTAAATTGAAAAAGTTTACTTTTTAAAGAGCAATTACAACGTCAGAAAGTAATATCTTCAAATCTTCTTCATTTTTAGATATTTTGTAGAAAATAATGAAATTAGGCAACTGCTAAATTTTTTTTTAAATTCCTATTAATTGGAGAGATTTGGAGAGAATTGGAGAAAATTGGGTCTCAAAATATGTGCATGGAGTGCAATTGCTACTTTGAGGGAAGTTTTAGTAACATGATTTTAGAGATGCATTCCTTTTTTATTTTTTACTCCGCGTAGATTTCTACTGAAAAATAAAAATTCAATATGTTTACACTTTTTGTTATCTAGAAATCATAGTTCAAAACCGCTAAGTTTGAAACTTTACATGTACTTTAGGCAATAATATCTCCTAAGGTCATAACTTGCACATTAATTCTCTAATTGTTTTTAAAAGCCACCAATACATACATTTAATTTTTACAAAAAAAAATCATGTGCATGCAAGAGCCTGGGGCAGAGTAAGCTGCCAAAAATGGATTTTGTGGTTAATGCGCTTTGTTAGATTTCCTGTAACAAACGTGACCGTAGGTTTACCATGAAATGTATAAGTTATTTAGTTTCCTTATACATGAGTCTTCCAATATGTGAAAGAAAATCATGTGCTCAAGTGATAAAAAGCCTACAGAAGTCCTAGAAGTAATATTATTTCGCCACATTTTGAACTTACACAACACCCTAACAACGGTATAGATATGCTTAGCAACAACTACTTTACATGGTGAATAATTAGTACTCTAATTAAAAACTCTATAAAAGATAAAAGACATTTTTATAACAGAAGTGTACAACAGTGCTTGATAAAAATTATTTTTTAACTTTTTTAATGTAAAAAAATATTTAACAATAGGTTTAAGTAATGCGATTGTAAAAGTGTAATATCATAAGTAAGGGAGAAATATATTTTTAATATGACTACCAATTTGCAGTGATATTTGTGTTGATGACTGTAATAATTTCTACACAGTAAATTCCTTTTGCACAATAAATTTTATATTTGAATTAAACAATTATTAAGGATAACTAGTATTTCCTTTTGTACAATCATTTGTAATACAATCTTTAGGCAACCATTAATAATTACTTTTAAGCAACTTGATGATGAAAACTGGATTTTGGCTAAAAGATTTTTTCCAGAAAATTTTTCCAGCTAAATTCTCTGAAAACCAAAAAAAGTATTTTAGAATAAAAAAAAAGAAATCTAAATGTTGATACCTTCTTCAATAAAAATGGTCAAATGAGAAAAAATATATCTTTTACTTCTGTATATAGATGTTAGGAAACCCTTGTTGATATACTCTGTCTTGCTGATAATGTTTTGGCAAAAGTTAAAAATGATTTTCCTTTTTTAAAAAACTTTCATTTGAAGTCATTATCTGATTTTGCATCATCTAACTATGGAAATATCAACTTAGAAGCACTTTAGAAAGTTTGCAAAGCATAGCAACTCTTCCTTCAAAGGTATAACTACAATGAGCCGCCAAGAGAAAAAAAAATCAATGCAATAGAGAGTCAGCAGGAGCAAAATGTGTCATCAGGAGTTTTGTTGATGCTGGAAACATTTTATTGACTGCAGAAGATCTTTGTAATGGTGTAGGAATTAAAAATGCTTATTTTGCTGTAGTCAAAATAGACTCAAAGGCTTCTCTTTTACCAGGCCACAATCTGATTCCCATCCCATAGCAGCTATCATCCTATTAAGTTTTTCCTTGATCACATTTTAATGTGGAGATTTTTCCAAATTGGTAAAAGTAAAAAATAAAACTATACAAATGCGCAAATGAGACATTCCATACTTCAGTTGAAATTGTTAAGCCCTGCATAACAATTTTCAAAAACTATGCATTGATAGAAGTGTTAACACTCTCAGGTTTTGTCCACAATTTAATTGCGCTGAATCATTTTTTGATAATGAATCATTAGGAGAACACACATGCTATCAGAAAACCACAATTTCAATCTGTGAATCTATGATAGATAAAGCTATAGGCAAAAGTTAATCAAAAAATTATAAAATTCCAAAAGGATATATATTAACTAAACAAAAATCTCAAACCTAAATTCTTCTGATTATCTTCTATTATCCCATTCTGTCATTAAATAATAAATTAAAAACTTTACAAACATCACTAGATGGGCATTACAAAGAAGAAAAGTGTTCAGGTATTCTTCAAAGCAATAAACATTATTAATGCAGATGTTTATGTGTGGAGAAGAACATCGGAACAAACTGAATCCAAAGAAGTCAGATTAATGGAACTGATGATGTGAGATATGCAACTCAAAATAAGGATGATAATTTAAACAATAATATTCAGCTGATAGAAAAGGAGTTAACTGCTGATATTCAAATTGGTGATTGGGTTGTTATTTAACATAATATGCAATGGTATCCTGCAATAATTCAAAATGTAGAACTTTGTAATAGAATAAAATTTTATTTTTGAGTGCTAGATCTCTTTTACTAAGATCTGTAATTATTAATTTTTTAATCAAATTATTTAAATGTAGGAAAATTTTTAAACTCAACTATTATGTCAATGATATTTATGTTTCTCATATAGAATATTTTACTGGAAAAAACTGTTTCATGTGGCCAACCAAAGAAAATTTTCTCCAATATTCATTTTTTGACATTGTTAAAAAATGAATATTGGAGAAAAAATTGAATATTTTTTGACATTGTACCAATACAAAGTAATCAAAGAAGGGAACTTTCTCTTTCAAAGGACAACATTGATAACAGGAAAATTAATTGTTTTTTTTTGTTATTAACTTCCTCAAGGCCGAGAAGGCCACTACAGGCGAGGAGAAGGCCACTACAGGCGAGCTACTTAATAGTGGTTATAACCCTCTCTCAACTCTATAACTCTGAAACACGAATCTTGATAAACAAGGCCACTGCGCGGAGAAACAAGTTGAGCGCGGTACTACCAGGGATGAGGTGGTGATCGAACTCGGAACCTCTCGCTTTTGAAGCAAGTGTTTTACCACTACACCACTACCGCACGTTGGCAATAGATAAACTACTTTAAAGCTTTATTTTGTTTATAATCTTAAAGAAAATGTTTTTCTTATCCCTTTTTTTATTGGAAAAAAAATTAATCTGAAATTTATATCATTTTTTAATATTGATATAAACACTTCAAAGTGTTTGATTTTTGGCTATTTCTTTCAGAGTTCTGTTATCAAAAATTTTTTATCTTCATTTTTAATTAGAGTACTATTTATTCATAATGTAAAGTAGATGTTACTAAGCATATCTGTACCATTGTTAGAATATTGTGTAAGTTCAAAATGTGGTAAAATAAGACTACTTCTAGGACTTCTGTAGGCTTTTTATTACTTAAGCATATGAATTTTTTTTCAGATATTGGAAGATTCAAGTTTAAGGAAACCAAATAACTTATACATTTCAAGGTAGACCTAAGGCCATGATCGTTATAGCTAATCCATTTTTGGCAGTTTACCCTGTCCTAGTCTCTTGCATGCACATGATTTATTTTTTGTAAAAAATGAATGTATGCCTTGGTTGCTTTCAAAAACAATTAAGAAATTTATGTGCAAGTTATGGGGTTAAGGGATATTAATGCTCAAAGTACATGTAAAGTTTCAAATTTAACGGTTTTGAACTGTGATTTCTAGACAATAAAAAGTGTAACTATATTAAATTTTGATTTTTAATGAGAAGCAGAAAAATCAAAAAGGAATGCATCTCTCAAATTTATGTTGCTAAAATTGCCCTTCAAATTAGCAATTGCACTCCATGCACAAATATTTTTACAAAATGGGCCAAATTTCTGGACCCAATATCTCCCTAATTAATAAGAAATTTAAAAATAAAATTTAACAGTGGCCTAATTTCATTACATTCAACAAAATATTTAAAAATAAAGACAATTTGAAGACATCACTTCTAGAATTTGCCTATTTTGTTAACATTTCTCTGATGACTCTTAATAAATTCAGGTTATCACAACAAACTTAAATTTATCAACATATACTTTATACTTTAAAAATATTTTTCAGTATTAGGAAAATGTGACTTTTTTTCTTGTTTATAACTAGATATGTGCTATTTTTTTAAATACTTGTTTTATAAGAAACTTTTTTTTACCATTACTACTTTATATAAACATAAACAACTCTAACTGTAAATTATTAAACCATCTTTAACTAAACATAAACAACTCTAACTGTAAGTTATTAAACCATCTTTAAATAAACATAAACAACTCTAACTGTAAGTTATTAAACCATCTTTAAATAAACATAAACAACTCTAACTGTAAGTTATTAAACCATCTTTAAATAAACATAAACAACTCTAACTGTAAGTTATTAAACCATCTTTAAATAAACATAAACAACTCTAACTGTAAGTTATTAAACCATCTTTAAATAAACATAAACAACTCTAACTGTAAGTTATTAAACCATCTTTAAATAAACATAAACAACTCTAACTGTAAGTTATTAAACCATCTTTAAATAAACATAAACAACTCTAACTGTATGTTATTAAATCAGTATATACTAGAGTAATGATGATTGCATTAAGCAACGGAATATGATTTATGTGATGTTTCAAAGCTTTGAAAAATATTTTTTCTCCTAATGTCTTTTTTTTATAATTATATCATACTAACTTACTAAACTATAATCTAAATTATAGATTTTAAATTACAATATATTAACTTACTAAACTGTAATCTAAATGATAGATTTTAAATAAATTAGTATAATTTACTAAACTATAAACTAAATGACATATTTCAAATTACCTTTAGTGCAGCTAACTTTTGATTTTTTTGTTTTGGCAGAGGAGGCATTTCTTCCTTAATAAAATCAGCTAAAATAATAAAGCAAAACTTTACATAACAACATAGGAAATACTTTTCGTCTCCTTAACATAAAAATCTTTAAACATTCTCTTTGTGATGAGGTACAAAATTTTATTTGCTCTCATTTACATGCAATAATATCACATAAAAGTTAAAATATAAATTAAAAATTTATAATTTATTATGAGTTTTATGTGTCACAGCAGTGATACCATATCAGAAATGGTACAACTGCTGTGACACAAACAATTCATAATAAATTATAAATTTTTAAACATAAAAAACTATTACTTGTAGCTCTTTACTTATTTAGTTTATTTTATTTGATAGTTTTTTTTTTCTTTTTTTTGTAGTGAATTTGGTTCAAAATAAATTTTTTTCATTCTCATTTTCAAATTTTGTTAAAAAATATAACCAATAATTTATATTTTTTAATAAAATTTAGAAATATAGTTTTAATTATTAATATAATTAAAATAGTCACTTTTAACAAGATTTTATTTTTTATTTTTTAAAACTTAATGTAAGATTTAAAAACCTGAGCAATCAAGACATCTATCAGGAAACTAACAATCCATCAAAGCCTGTTTAACGTTTTGCAAATCATAGGACTTCCTGTTTATTGAAAAAGCTAATGGATTTTAACTTTGATATAAAATTACATATTTCTGTCTGGTAGAAAAGTTTTCCTAAACTCTGTCAATGCTCGCATTGATGTGTTTTAAAGTATTTTTGAAATTTTAAACATTTTTAATTTGTTTTCTCTCACAAATACTATCATGGCATCTGCTCAAAGATGCTATTATTTCTAGTTCCTTCAACAAAAACTTATTCTCCTGTGACTCTTCATTCAGCAAAGTCTTATTCTTTCACTGTATCTATAGCTATTTGCTCTAAAAACTTCTATACGTTTAGCTTTTTTCTTGCACTTTAACTCTTAGGAGCTCTCCCCCATCTTCATCTATCTTACATCCTCACACAATGTACGGCTTTTGCTTTTACAAGTCTTCCATCAACCGTTCCATGCTATTTAACTTTATTCTTTTTTTTCTAGTAACTTAATACTTGTTGCTTGCAGCTTTGTTGGGAGTGAATCAAAATAATAATAGTAAAAAAAAAAAAAATCCTTATAAAAGACTATTTAATAAGCCTATAAATATATATATACTGGAGTTTGTCTAAATATAAGAAAAGCAAAAACATAAAGAGTAAAAATTTTTTCAATCATAACATTAAATAAAAAAATTAGAAAAAGATTAGAATAGTTAAATAATGAAAACAGCAACATAAAACAGTTATATCTATTATTGGAAAATGTCAAAAATCTTATCTGCTTTTTTTAATTAAATTTGTATGGTTTAGCTTTTTTTAGCAAGCTAGAATCAATGAAAATAGACGATGGTACCCAATTCAAAAAGATTTGTATTAAAAAAAGATTCTGAGATGTGTTGTACAGCCAGATAGTAAATATAAACAATAAATTGTATAAATAATTTATACTTTGTTAGTGGATGATTCAATTGATTTTTTTTTGCATTTACTTTTTGTTTGATATATTATAGAAATTTTCTAACATAAAGTTATATATATTAGAAGATTTTACTAATTATTTAGATATATTATAGAACACCTAATATCTGCTAAAATTTGTTTACAACAACTTTGCTTTGTTAGCTTTTGAAGTTTAGAAGATAACAAAATGATTCCTTTGATAACAAAACATGGGAGGGATGCACATACATTGACAAAAATAGGTAGAACATGCATACTAAATAATTTATTTGAAATTTTTGCCAGATTATAGGCACTGGCATCATCAGCATATAATATAATATAATTACAATTTGTGTATTACAATATATATAATGGACATTATGTTAAAACAAATTTTTAAACTTCATTTTTTTCATATTTACATAAAAGAACCCATTATATAGGTGAAATCAAAGTTTTTAAAAATTTTTGTATTGTTATTTAACAGTCCAAGTTTTTGTAATTATATTATATTATATGGTGATGATGCTAGTGCCAATAATCCGACAAAAATTTCAAATAAATAATTTAGTATAGAGAGAATTACCTGGTGTTTTAAAGTAGTTTATGTATATATATATATATATATATATATATATATATATATATATATATATATATATATATATATATATATATATATATACATATATATATATATATATATATATATATATGTATATATATATATATATATATATATATATATATATATATATATATATATATATATATATATATATATATATATATATATATATATATTAAACTGCTTTATTTTGATGTCATGAAAAAATTAAGTACCACGAAGTCTTACCTGCTGTGCACACTGATATTTTATCAGTAGATTTTTTTATTATTTGAATTTGGACCACTTTTAGGGGTTGCTCAAGTGCCTCAAAAGTCATAATTTAGACTTTTGAACCTTTTTTTAGCCAATTTTTGGCACATTTGAGCAAGTTTTAAAACTCAAAATAAAAAAATTTTCTTTTAAGAATTTCTACCAAGGTAAAAAAAAAAAACAAATAAAAATGCATGTTAATTTTATTTATGGGAAATATTAAATATAAATTGGTAACTTTTCAGATATTTTTTTCAGAAGTTTTTTGAAAGAAGCACCACATATATGTTGAATAAAACTTTAAGCAAATTCATACAACAAACTTTTTGTTAAATTATTATTTAAAAGAAATATATAAATAGTTGTTTAAGAATAAAAGCAAAAGCTGTCTTTACATTTTTAACAAAATCATAAGTTGTCATTTATGAGCTTAACAGTTCTTTTGTTGCAACCATTTACTTATTTTTAACAAAATCATTGTTGTCCTTTATGAACAGTTCTTTTGTTGCAATCATTAACTTATTTTTAACAAAATCATTGTTGTCCTTTATGAACAGTTCTTTTGTTGCAATCATTAACTTATTTTTAATTATTACTATTTTTATAAATACTATTGTAAAAATGATTTACGTAAAATAAACAGCTTGTTGTTGTTGTTGTTGTTGTTGTTAACAACAGCAAGATAAAAAACAGCACCCTCAAATTTTAGGTAGAAATCATTGCAAGTGCAATATTTGAATGAATGGAGATTCATCCATTGACAGTCACTTTTACTCCAACCTATCATAAGAAACACAAGTCACAAATTTTTTGTAAAATCTAAAGAATCGAGGACTTTAATGTTGGCTCTCATTTGGGCTGATGGATATTCCTTCTTCACATTTTTCATCATTTACGACTATAGCACAATAAAACAAGGGTCCAGAAACCATGTGCAAACAGCATAGAATGATTTGATGTAAAATAAGCATGGAATGATCTTAATAAAAAAAACCATGTAGGTTTTTACATAATTGGCTACCAATTTTGTAAAATACTATTTTTCTCTAGCATATACATATTTTTTTCACTTCTGTGCCCAAAACAAAAGTTTGAGTAAAATGATGTTAAGAAAACTATGGATTCCTGTGGAAACTTTATGAAAATATTATCAGCAGTGGTTATTTAAAAAAAAGTAGCTAAATAACTCAATATCTGAACTTGTTGATACTTATGATGCATTGAATTTGCAGCAACTTATTTTCGATAAGAATTTTTCTTGTTTTTTAGCAAACTGCAAGTTCTATAGAATTTGTCAATTGCTTAATTCTATAGCAATAGCTACATAGTACACATTAACTATACATAGGTATATATATTTTTTGTGAAACAAAAAGTAATATCTTACTCTTTTTTACACAAAAAATATACATACCAATGTATAGTTAATTATATCTATATATTCTGACTTAATTTCATTTTTGGGTGGGATTACAAGGAAGTACTATATTAAGTTTACATTTGTGTACTTTCTGAGGGCAAGTACAAGTCCCTAGCAGTCCACCACGCTTTCTTTATGGAAAAAGGTAGGGAATTGAAGCTTTATGGCAAAAGGAAGGATTTTGTTACACATTAACAAATACTTAGCTTTTTAATAAATAAGTAAACACAATAAATTCATTTTTGGTACCTACAACCTAAAGCTCCAGCTTCTTATGGGTGAAATAGCCAATCTTATGAGATTAATGAAGCGGCAAATTTTGTGGTTGCCTTCTAAACAACTGGTTTCTTTAAGCTGAACTAGCCTCTATTGCACCATATCAGGTAATTATCAACTTAAAAAATATGATATGTGTAAATATAGTATACAAGGATACCAGTATAATAAAAAATTGTTTTGAAAATTAATGAAGCATAATTTTTTTTAAACAAAAATTGAAATTTTTCTTCTTTTATTCAGAATATGAAACCTTTTTAGCAAATAAGAAGGGAAATCAGGTTTGAGCAGAATCAGGCTTTAAATCTATTAAACGACACACATAGATTATGGACCCTTATCTTATTGTGTCAGGCTCAGCTGATAAATAAATGTGAAGAAAAAGGTAAAATTGCTCAAACAAAATTAGCAAATATCCGTCAGCCTAAATGAGAGCAAACATAGAGGTCCTCAATTATTTAGATTTAAGTGGATCAAAGCTGTCAAACTTGGTTCAATTAATCATTTATGAATTTATGCTTTTAATGTTTGCATTGATTTTTTTTTTTTAAATGCAAAAATATGCATCAAAGGACTAGACCGAGCTGTCGAGCCCAAATGAAATAAGGAAAAAATAAGGAAGAGAGAAAGGATAAAAAAATTTACAATATATATTAAACAGATGTTCAGAACAAAAACAAAGATACTATAGTAAAGCGTGTAGTAAAAAATAATAATGATAATTTAGATACCCCGCATGTAATAAAAATGTAATAAAAACAAAACAGGACACATAAGTAACCATAAATCTACAGTAAATACAAATGTTTAACATACTTACAGTAAAGTGGTAAAGTGAGGTTAACTGGGTTAAAAGGGTAAAGTGAGGTTAACTGGGTACAGGTGTTAACTGGGCCACTGGCTGTTCATACTTCTGCAGTTTGAATACACCGCTTTTA